GTAGGTATACAATGATATAATATCATTGGATTCAAATTTAATTCCATCCATTACAGTAACCCACTTGTAACCTACTGTACAGCAGAGCGACATCCACTTTCCCGCTTTTTATAAATAAATATTTGGTGGGTCGGTGGGTGGCTAACTTTTTTAAACTGCATGTGCTCTTAAAATACCTCTTTGCGCCACTGCACTCACATGTTTTTAGTGTTATCACTGTTATCAGTCTTTCACCGCTTGACGCATGTAGTTATATTGTATCACTCATTGGCCATTAGATTCTTTTTAGGTAGTCACTAGTCGACCAAATTATCATTGTGATCGTATATTATTTAATGTTAATTTAATCGTAATGTGTTGTATTATAATATTCAGTATTGTTGTATAAAAGTCGAAATATATTTCGTAATATTTCGTATTCGTAAATTGTAATACTCGGGTAATTATTAAATTAAGATTTTGTTTTCTTATTTAAAAAAATATGTTTTTAATTAATAACACAAATTGATTTCTTAGTATTGAAAACAATAAATTTGAATATACTTACAACTTTGTGGTTCGAACTCTACTTATATTTAAGCTGAAAACACTCTAAATTTCTTAGTAAGTAGTTAGGTATCAATCACTTATAAAGAGCTTCTGACATTTGTATTGTATTAATGAAACTTATATTTTTTATCTAGATGACCGTGAAAATCAAAACTTCATAAATGTTTTCAATCACTACACTGATTTTCTATGTCGCTGTGGTGCTGGTCGCGTTTTATCTCAATGACCGAAACAGTACTAATAACAAATTACTCGAATCTTATGAAAATAATATAAACATAACATTCGGCCCACTGAATCTAGGAAACGATTCTTCTTGTAAAGCACTTGATTTTCAACTGAATTACAAAAAACATGAGGATCTTGGGATATTTCTTTCCAATTACGCTAGTTACATGTCAATGGTGAGTTTGTTCAAACTCTGGATGAGCCAACGAAATGATAAAATATTCTTTGGCACTCTAAAGCTCAATGATAAAACTGTGAGTGCTGTAGCAAAAGGGCCTGGACGTAATTGTTTTGAAATGTTTGAGCAAACAGTTAACATTGCTACAGATATAAACACAATTATAACTTATGACCAATGGACCTTATTACCACTAAGTGGAGATAGCCGCAGCCTTGAAATATGTTCAAAAAACATTAAATCGTTTCAAAATGCATTGCTTTACAGTTTTTTCAACTCTGTTATTAGTGATGACACCGATAATAAAACCCATTCATTGATCGAAGCGTGGATTGCTGCACATGTTAGTGTTGAGCTTCTGGTTCTAAAGGTGAGAAACTCAAMGTATATATAATACTTTTGAATCAAGCACTTAATTGTTACTATTTAATATGTAATGTTTATATAGGTATTGAATGGATATCGTTATGTACCAAATATTTATGCTACATGTGGTCGAGTTTATTTTGTTGAAGATTGTGGTTATACCTTACAGTATCACATGAATAAGATGAATTTGAGTAATAGGCTATTAGTGGCCAAAGAGTTATTAACATTGGCGTTGGAGCTTGCAGATGGTACAGCTCATCAAAGTTATTCATTTTACCTCACTGATTTAACAGCAGATAATATAGCTATTCGACTGAATAAAACATCAGGATTATTACAGTCATTGAAAGTAATTGAYTGGAGTGATGTTATAATTGTGGTCAATAATCATAGTATGAAGAAAACTGATGGTAAATTTATATTAGGTACATTAAATTATTATTTTATAATCAATTTTTTAATTTTTGTATATTGTATTATTATCAGAAAATATACATGTAAGTAAACATATTGATTGTGGGCCTGGATGTTTATCTTATTCAAAAGAAGAAATTTGTCAATCGAGGGTTAGTGATCACAATATATATGCTGTTTGCAAAGTGAGTTAACATAATTATTGTAATAATGTTAGAGTATGATTTCCTCTTAAAATATCTACAAAGGACATAGGTTAATAATATACTTGTTTGACTCCTCAAGTTCTGTGTTTAATAAATAGTTACCTAGTGAAAGTACTTGATAAATAAATTTACAACTGCAGTTACTAGTGCGCAAATTAGATTTACAAAAATAATTCTATTTGTTGGCTCACATTAGGTAGAACTTACATTTTTAATTGAATACATTATGATGTATAAACATTTAGTTTTGTAGTTACTATGATATTATGCCGTCCTTTTAAAAACAATAAATCATAGACATTATTATTTTTTATGTTTAGGAATTTTTAAGCAACGATGGTAGACTATTAMATGAAATAACAGACTTAAATAAAACAATCAAGTCACCAGAAAATGAAGTCAAAAACCTTGCATCTTTATTGAACAATTGTTTGTGGAACTTCGATGATGAAAAGCAATCTGAAACAAATAGACTAGATACCGCTAAATTGATAATAAAATCAATTCAACTTATTTATAACATTGAAACATCTAATAGCACTGATGATGTTAAGTAAATAAAAAATATATTTGTATAAAGATAGTACACCATTAAAAAGTAGATAAAAACCAGAGACTGAGTGTAAAAGTCTGCACACATTGCAACGCTAACGTTAGTAGTAAAACACATCAGGATACAATTTATCACTGATGTATTGTGTGGTGGCCTTTGAACTTATTTTACATTCAAAATTAACTATTTATTTTAGCCTATTTACCTATAGTTAAGATATTTTATGTTATCCTAGGTTGATTATAGTTAAAACCTAAAAATGCCTACTTTAAATTTTATGATTTTTTTTTTAACCATTGATTAATAATTGTACTAAAACACAACATTAATGTTATTAATTAGTTAAGGATGTCAATAAATATGTAATTTTTTTACTATAAACATTTTTTATATTCAATTTGATATTTCGGTTAACAATTTTGTTGCCTAAAATTTTTATGTAATATAAAGTTTAAAACAGAACATTGTATATTGTGTATGTTGTCATTTATCTGATTTATCATACCAAATGTATGTGTACATTACAATGACTGTATTAATTATTAAATAAATAATATAATATATATATTAAAAATTGTATTAGGTACTTGAAATATAGTTATTGATGATTTTATTATATATATATATTTATTGTTAAGATTTTTGTAAAAAAAAATAAATTATATTTATATTATAATGTCGTGAAGGGTATATAGGCAGAATTCTATTGAATTTTAGTTTTAAAAATTTTGTTAGAAGCAAAATTTTAAAATATCCAAAAAGTTTATTTAAAAACAATTATTATGTTCCCATTCGTACCTACTCAATTTTTTCGCAAGAATTATTTTTCTTTTTAATAAAATAATTTGACTGAATTTTAAACAATAAATGATAAATACATTTATTGATATTGACTTAAAACCTTACCAAATAAGTTAGAAAATTGCATTGAGCTTTCAAAACCTGCCTTTGGATTTGATAGTGAAGCAAAATACTATTGTCTTTAAAGACATTTAAGGACTTGCTCCTCTAATATATACTTTTGATTATATTGTATGTATTTTTATTTCAAACCAACTAATTATTGTCAAATATTGTTTATTATAATGTCTGTATTAAATAACAATAATCATTTTTTTTTTAATTGTTTAACACGTGTGCTGTGTAGCTGTAATTTTTACATTCAGAAGAGGGAAATTTTCTAAAATTGTTATGAGATCCCTATATCTAGATTTATCTATTCGATAAAATTATAAAAAGTTTGGTCATTTATTTTATTATGAAATTAATATTAATATTTATGATTGAATAATGATCGTGACCACGTCATAACCTCAATAGTGTAAATTGTATAACCAAGACCATGCCTATACCTGTATGATTAAGATAAAATTTAAATTGAATTGATTACAACAAAATTAAATAAAAATATCAATATTGATATTTTGTGAATATATTATATCAATCATTCATATCCCTTTTAATGTAATCGGGTTACGCCAAAATAGTATTACATCACATGGATGTAATTAGAGAGGTAATTTAATTTTATATTAGAGTGAGGTCATGAGTTTTAATGAACAATGGTTCTTACTATCCCTAATTAGATTTAAAGTTGGTGGATGCTTTTTGAGCAGGCACACAGTAATAGGACTAGTTGCCACCACTGATCTTAATATCTACAACTTAAATACATTTTAGATGGATCTACTTAAACATTTCCATTGAAATTGTGTGCATTTTACTCCTCCCAATTACAATAAAGATTTATATCTCCTTTTCTCTGATCAGAATTCAGGAGTAAAGTGAAAACCATGATTTAAAACATAACTCTTTGAATTTTAAATAGTATGCTTATAAATCATGGTGACTGACGAGTGACGAGTGATTAAAGATGAAAGTATGGTGAAATTCACATAAAAATTGAAGACATTATCCACATTCAGCATTCAAAATTTCAAAATTCAAAAAACGCCATGATCAGGCTACGGACTACAGCTTATCAGATATCATGCATTCTGTTTACGCGGGTCTGGACTTATAGATAACGCGATTCTTATTTCCTACGGATGGCACAGTGAGTGTGCTGGTACAATAATAACGGGCGCCGTTTGCACGATACATGAGGCCAGTCTGTTAGCTCCTGCATAACGGACGGTGGCGTCGCTATGCGGACCGATTATCATTATTTATTTTATCATCGACCGTGGTAGTCGAGTTGAAATCTGAATATTGTGAATAGGTATTATATAGTTACAATACTGCGATCGCCGTCGACACCGAATCGTCGCCGTTCCGCACAAATTCTTCTCGAATACCGTCAGCCCTCAGCTTAACGATGGGCAAACACAAGAAAGCCATCAGTTCTGACGAGTCTTCCGAATTCAGCGACGATGTAAGTATTATACTATTGTATTTTGGTTTGTATTTTTGACTATACCCTAACYTTTGTGTGTGCGTGCGTGTGTGTGTGTGTGTATGCGCAGGATACGAGCCTGGCCAGAAATAAGAAACGCTACAAAATCTCATCGCCACCTAGCCGCAATTACATGTCAAACACCAAGAAGAAGTTGTCGAAGAAGCCTATTTACGATTCTGATTCATCATCGTTATCTGAAGGCGAGATAGCATCAGATGAGGAGCCAAAGAAGAAGCAGAACTGCAAGCGGCCCAGCAAGAAGTATGACATGTCTGATGATTCATCAGATAGCAGCGCCGCGTCTGAAATCCAAAGTCCAGTCCAAGAGACTAGTCAGCGTAAGTTTACAACATTTATTCATATTAAATACCTCTTTTTCATCTCATTATAATAACTCCTTTACACAATTTAATGTTAGATACTGTGATAAATACTGTTGATAGCTTGACATTCTGAATTATTAGGAAATTGACTATATTATAGTATAGATGATGCTCTGGTTCTGCGCATGCAGATTCACGACCAAGCATTTGTTAAGTTATTGTTTCTCCTTTTGTGGGTGATGCTGAAGATGGTTATTTTTGTGATTTTTTGTCGGGTATCAGAGCATGCCGATGGTTAGGTGGGAATACTAGGCTATGTATACGCCAAAAGAGATGCACAAATATGGACTAATTTTGTTTGCCAGGGGCTCATTCTCTTGTTAGACAGAGCATAGCGCTATTACTTGCTGCTAATATATTTAATTAAATTTTAAATAATCAAACACCACCTTACTTATACTGGGTAGTTTAAAAGTAGCTTCTACGTAGAGTGACTCACAAATTTATATGTATATATATAAATATATGTGTGTGTGTTACCGGAAATGTTGACAATTTAGGAAATGACAACCATTCCAAGAAAATGATAAAAATACTTAATATAGAAAAGAAATGATATTATCATCACCTAGGAGTTGTCATAATTTCTGTACTTTATTAGGCAATATTATCATGCATTGCTTTCTTACACTAAAGCATTAGCGATTATGATGTTGACATGTTGCAAATCACGTGGACTGGCTTTATAATGTAACTATTAGAATGATAACTAACTCTCAACGGTGACATGCTAATAAACATTATACTGCCACTACTGTAAATATTTCCGTGTTCTAAAAACGTGGGTACTGAAAGTGGATTTTTAAAACATATGTCAGAGATATCATACACGAGATCGTAATTGCAATGCAAATTTATTGGATTTAACTAATGTTAAAGAATTATTACACAAAGTAAAGTGATAAAACAAAATGTTTGACTCCAATTGATTTTTTATTGGTTATTGATTATTTATCAGAGTAATAGTACATAGTGATGAAAATAAATAAAGTATGATTTACCATTTTATGAAGCAAAGCGAAGCTTTTGATGAATATTAGGAGTTATATATAAGATGTATATCATACAACTGTTATATTTAATATTTATACTATAATATTATAGTTAATTTTCAGAAAATATAGATAAATAATTAGGACTCAAAAGTTGTAGGAGTTATATATATATGCTTTGATTTATAGCAGACTAACAATTTGACTTAAATTGATTTAAATTGATGATACTGTTTATGTTTGAGTAATTTTAAAAGATTATACCCAGGAAACCACCTTATCATACTTCATGAACAATTATTAAATTACTAGATTTTTAAACCTAAAATTCCATTAATATTAAAACTATTTGACAAACTTCTTTATTTTAGATAAGTATTAAACCTTTTGAGACTTGATGTCTTGGTAAAGAGTACAAATTCAATATTCTACCTATAAAATATTTATTATTATCCATTGAGTAAATATTTCATTGTTATCTTTAGTATAATATTAAACTATAGTTTAAAATCTAGTAATAATAATAACTTTAACCAAACAAAATTTATTTATTATTTGTTTATTTATATTTTAATTATTTATTAATTATTTAATAAAAATAAATTAGGCACTTTCTAATAACAATTATTTTCATACTTAATAATAATATTTAGAATACTTGTATATTATGTTTAGTCAGTTATGAATTTATCAATGCATATATTTGATTGAACATTAAATAATCCTATTTTACTTTTACTTGTTTTATAGTTAGTGAATCTTCTGAAGATTCTGAAGAAGAATTCAATGATGGTTATGATGAAGAGTTGATGGGAGATGATGAAGACAGAGAACGTCTAGCACAAATGACTGAAAAAGAACGAGAAACTGAAATATTTAAACGTATTGAAGCTAGAGAAATAATGAAAACAAGGTAAAATAAAATATTTTGAATACAAATAAGATTTAATTTAATTTATTCATTTATAGATTTGAAATAGAGAAAAAGCTTAAACGTGCTAAAAAAAGGGAAATGAAAGAACAAAAATCTTTAGAAAGAAGTATGTCCTCAAACAGATCAGACTCTCCATATTCAGGTTCTTCAATGCCTCTTGATTTAAAAGATCGCGTGAAAGAAAGAAAGAAAAATGTCGAAGAAAATAAAGGAAGAGGAGATAAGAAAGTTGCAATGAGCATGTTAAAAGCAAGGCGAGAAGAAAAACGGGAAAGAGGCAAGTCCAATTTTGATACACATAACAGAATCAATAGTTAACATTATACTTTTTATGGTTATATTTTTGTATAAGAATCTTGTAATAACAACTTTGATAAATATAAAAAATACTATTTATTCTTTTTAATTATATTAAAAACTAATTTGGTATTTAAATTTTTTTTATTAATCTCAATATGAATTTCTCAGTTACACAGTATTTTATCTAATTGTCATCACTGTGGATGGCTTTAATTTATAAATTAGTTGATTATAGTATTTTAATTAAAATTTATAAATCACTGAATTATTCTATATAATAATTAAAGTATTTAATAAATACTATAATAAAATAATAATGAACAACTTACCAATAAGTATTATTTTTATTGATGAGTTGTATTTGTTTTATTATTTTAGAGGAAGAAAAAGAAAAACAACTAAAGAAAGACATGGAAAAAAAAGGAGATGATGATGATG